CGGCGACACGCCTGGCTGCAGCACACGGTGAAGCGCGGGAAGTTTGCGTTGAGGTACATCCCGACCATCGAGCAGCCAACCGACTTCCTGACGAAGGCGCTGCACTACCCGGCCTTCAACCAGTGTTCCGTCGCAATCGGCCAAATGCGCGTGGCCAAATTTGGCGACGGCGACAACGACGTGCAGCAGTAGGTGCCATGCCCTTTTGCATGGCTGGTGCGGTGGACGACATGCTAAGTGTTGGGTGCATGTCGACGAGCTTTTCTTCGAGAAGTACTGCCATGTGGGCTGGGGGCTTAAGTGTGAACGCGGCAGGGGAGTGTCAACGGGAGTTGTGTGTTGGCCCCGTCCTCGCTTGGGCAGAGCCGACTTCGTGGTCGGGTGTAGGGGTGCAGCCGACCTGCAGTAGTGGGCGAGCTGGTCGCCGTGGAAGTCGACCTGCACGGGTGCCACTGCATGGGCGCCGACTTTAGGATGGCGCCAACTTCAGGGAGGTGGACCTGGGAAGTTGACCTGCGGAGGGCGTCGACTTGGTGATGCTAACTCGGGACAGTCAACTTGGGTGGTCGGCTGACAGGACCAATGGTCGACCTGGTGGTTGGTCGACCAGGCCTGCTGGTCGACTTGGTGGTTGGTCGACCAGGCGTGATGTCGACCTGGTGGTCGACCTAACTTGTGGTCGACGAAGGAGGGGCCGACGTCGACATTGACAGAGGGATCAGGACGTCGAGTAGCAGGGCGTCAACTTGGTGACGCCGACTTCGGGTAGCCGACTTTGGGGTCGGCTAACAATTGTGCTGGTCGACGAGGAGCTGGTCGACCAGGAGCGGCGTCGACCTGGAGCTGGTCGACCAAGAGTGTGGTCAACGTGACAAGGTCGACTGGAAGTGGTCGTCGACCTGGGTGGTCGACGGGCACGCGCAAGAGCAGCTGGTCAACGTGGTTGCCAGGTTGACCAGGTTTCCTGGGTGACGAGGTTCTGCGAAGGCACGCGACGGTCGCCCAGGCGACGTTGGCGAGGACGACCTTAGTGTTGGTATCCCGAGGTCGACGTGGCTGATCAGAAGCAGTCGTCAGCACGAAGTTGACCTGGTGTGTGCGCTGTGCAGGTGACAAGGCACTGCACGCCAATCATCAGCGAGCACCTGTGAAGCAGGTGCGCTGTTGTCCTGCGGGAGCAACGTTGGCACGCCGTCAACCTGCGACGTTGGCACGCCGTTGACTTGCAGCATTGGCAAGCCGCGACTCTGCACTGCTGGAGCGTGGTCGACCAAGTCGTGCTGGCATGCGGTCGACCGTGCTGCGCTGGCAGTAGACTTGCTTGCATGCTAGCTCTGATGTAGTCTAGTCTTGCCAACTTCATTGTACCATTGTTGTCAACCTTTCCTAGTGAAACTCTTGCCGATTCTCCTCGTAAACCAGAAAGTGAGCATTTGGAAACGACTAAGGAACGACGAACGCAGAGATCACACGAGCATCCGTACCTAGCCCGTAGTCTAGCTCCCGTTGTAGTAGTTATCTCCACAAATACCAATCATACAGTATGGGTTCAGGTAACGCACTTTCTCTTAGTATCAAGAATTTGGGTAAGTAACGCACTTATTTTTAGTACTAGTCATATGGGTAAGTAGTGCTCTTACTCTTAGTAACGATCATATTGGTAAGTAAGACACTTTCTCCTAGTACCATTCATAGGGGTATTTTATGCACTTTCTATTAGTACCAACCATATCGATAAGTAACCCACATACTCGTAGTACAAATCATATGGGCAAGTAACGCAGTTACACTTAGTACCAAGCATGTCGGTAAGTAATGCACTTACTTTTAGTACCAATCATATAGGTAAGCTACTCACTCACTCTTAGTACCAACCATTTGGGTAAGTAACACACATAGTCTTTGTAACAAGCATATCAATAGGTAACGCTCTTACTCTTAGTACCATCCATCTGGGTAAGTGACGTACTTATCTTTGAGTACCAGTCATATCGCTAAATAACGATTTCAATCTTAGTACCAACTATATGGGTAAGTAATGCACTTACAATTAGTACCAATCATATGTATAAGTAACGCACTTACATTTAGTACAATCATAAGGCACTTACTTCTAGTACCTATCATATGGGTAAGTAATGCACTAATTCTTAATACCAACCAGATCTGTAAGTAACGAAACTTTTAGTACCAACCATATGGGTAATCAACGCACTTAGTTCTAGTACTAATCATATGGGTAAATAACGCACCCGCTTTTAGTACTTATCATATGGGTAAGTAAGGTACTCTTCTATGCACTTACTCTTAGTACAATCATATAGCACTTACTTCTAGTACCTACCACATGGGTAAGTAATGCAGTGATTCTTAGTACCAGCAATATCAGTAAGTAAAGAACGTAATCTTAGTACCAACCGTATGGGTGATCAACGTACTTCTAGTACTAATCATATGGGTAAGTAACCACCCAATTTTAGTACCAACCATATTGGTAAGTAACGCACTTACTCTTAGTACCAATCATATGGGTAAGTAACGCACATACTCTTAGTACCAACCATCTGGGTACGTAACGCATTTACTTCTGTACCAACCATATGGGTAAGTAACGCACTTATTCTTAGTACCAACCATATCAGTAAGTAGCGCACGTACTTTTAGTACCAAACATACGGGTAAGTTATGCACATACTTTTAGTACTAATCATATGGATAAGTAATACACTCACTTTTAGTACCAATCATTTGGGTAAGTAATTCACTTACTCATAGTACCATTTATATGGGGTAAGTAATTCACTTACAATTAGTACCAAGCATATCAGTAAGTAACATACGTACTTTTGGTAACAACCTTATGGGTAAGTATGGGTACTTCGAGTACCAACCATATGGGCAAGTACTGTTCTTTCTCTTAGTACCAACCATCTTGGAAAGTAACGCACTTAATCTTCGTACCAACAATATCAAAAAGTCTCCAATGCACTTACTCTTAGTACCAACCATAACAAAAAGGAACGCACCTACTCTCAGTACAAACCATGTAGGTAAGTAGCATACGAGCTTTTAGTACCAACCATATCGGTAAGTAACATGCACACTCTTAGTAACAACCGTATGGGTTTATGTAGTGCACTTACCCTTAGTACCAATCGTATGGGTAAGTAACACACGTACATTTAGTATCAAACATATAGGTAAAATACACAATTACTCTTAGTACCAACCATATTAGTAAGAAATACACGAATTCATAATACCAACCATATGGGTAAGTAAGAGACGTATGGGTATGTAACGCAGATACTCTTATTACCAATCATTTTGGTAATTATCGCACCTATTCGTAGTACCTAACATATGGGTAAGTAACGCAAAAACACATACTACCAATTATATGGGTAAACAACGCACTCACTCTCAGTACCAACTATATAACTAAGTAACGCACTTACTCTTGGTACTAAGCATATGGGTAAGCTACACATTTACTCTTAGTACTGTCCATTTGGGAAAGTAATGCACTTACTCATATTATCGATGATATGGGTAAGTAACACATTTAATCTTAGTAGCAAACATACCAGTAAATAACATTCTTACTCTATATACCAATCATATAGGTAAGTATCGCACATACTCTTAGTGTCGATCATATTGGGAATTAACTCAACCACTTACTCTTGGTACCAACCATATCGGTAAGTAATGCACATATTTTTAGTACCAACCATACAGTTAAGTAATATATATACTTTTAGAACTAACCATCTGGGTAAGTAACACACTTATTCGTAGGACCAATCATATGGGCAGGTAACACACTTACTCTTAGTACCATCCATAAGAGTATATAACGCACATACTTTGATTAACAACCATATGGGAAAGTAACACACTTACTATTGATTCCATTCATATGGGTAAGTATCTCACTTACTCTAAGTACCAATCTTATAGGCATTTAACGCACATACTCTTGCTACCGACTATCGGTAAGTCATGTTAAACTGTATTATGCTTGTAGGCTGTAGTGGGGTAGCCAATATGGGGTACAACCCCAACTAGGGTTTGCTACTTGTACCCAATTCTTCCATTCAATACACCATTCTTGCCTAGTTATTCTGACATGGTATTCAGAGCAGGAGGTCCCTAGGACCTACCGACCGTTTTTTAGGGCCCACCACCGCTCGCATGCGGTTACCACGCTACCCCGTGCCCTAGCCTCGTAGCGCCCTCGTGCGCCCTCGTTAGCGCCCTCGCGCGCCCCTCGTTAGCGCCCTCGCGCGCACCCTCGTTAGCGCCCTCGCGCGCCCCTCGTTAGCGCCCTCGCGCGCCCCTTGCTAGCGCCCTCGCGCGCCCCTCACTAGCGCCCTCGCGCGCCCCTCGCAGTGTCGCCCGCCCGCCGAGCCGCCCGCTCGCAGCCCGCTCGCTCGCTGCCCGCTTCGCGGCCCGCCCGCTTCGCAGCCCGCCCGCCCGCTCGCTGCCCGCTTCGCGGCCCGCCCGCTTCGCAGCCCGCCCGCCCGCTCGCTGCCCGCTTCGCGGCCCGCCCGCTTCGCAGCCCGCTCGCCCCGCTGCCCGCTTCGCAGCCCGCCCGCCCGCTCGCTGCCCGCTTCGCGGCCCGCCCGCTTCGCAGCCCGCTCGCTCGCTGCCCGCTTCGCGGCCCGCCCGCTTCGCAGCCCGCCCGCCCGCTCGCTGCCCGCTTCGCGGCCCGCCCGCCCGCTCGCTGCCCACTTCGCGGCCCGCCCGCTTCGCTGCCCGCTCGCAGCGCCGCCCGCCCGCCCGCTACCTGCTTCGCAGCGTCGCCCGCTGCCTCACTGCCCGCTTGCTGCGTCGCCCGCCCGCCCCGCTGCCCGCTTCGCAGCCCGCCCGCCGCGCTTCTCGCCTGCTGCTCCCTGCCTGTGCACCGCCGCTTGCTCCTGCTGTGGCTGCTAGCTTCGCTCTAGCGCGTCCCCTCTGCTGCTGCCGCTGCTCTGCTGTGCCCTCACGCCTGAGCTATGGCCTCTATTCGCGTTCTTTCCTTCGATGCTGAGGGCCATCCGGTGCAGTTCACTTCCTGGCTCGACGACCTGCAGTTGTATCTTATGAGCAATAGCACGGACCACATCTCCCTCTATGACTACGCGTCTGGTGCTGCCGCTGCTCCTGCTGCCACAGCCGAGCTTAGTGTTCGTTCCCACTGGCAGACTCGTGACGCAGCTGCTCGCCTAGCCATTCGCAGTCACCTGCCGCTAGCTGAGCTCGAGCATTTTGGCGACTGCAAATCCGCTAAGGCCCTGTACGATGCTGTCGTTGCTCGCTACTCCTCGCCTGCCACAGCCGAGCTTAGCCGCCTCATGCTGCCGTACCTGTTCCCCGATCTGTCCACCTTTACTACAGTCGCCGATCTTATCACCCACCTTCGCACTAGTGATGCTCGCCTGCGTGCCGCCCTTCCCACCGAGTTCTGCGCTAAGAACCCCCCTCCACTGTACTGGACACTCCACTTCATAGTCACCCGTCTCCCTGACACCCTCCGCTCAGTTCGAGACCACTTCCTTGCTCGCTGTCCCACTGAGCTCACAGTCGCCCTCCTAGAGGAGCACCTGCTTGCGGCCGAAAAGAGCATTGTAGCTGTCGGTGCTGCTCGTGGCGCTCCTCGCACCCCCATCTTTGAGGGGTGTTCTCCCTCTCCCCTCGCTCCCTCCTACGCTGCTGCTGCTGCTGTTGACTTCCTTGGTGCTGAGTCTGTTGGCGCTGCTTCTGCTCCTGGTGGGAGGCGCCGCACCGGCAAGGGCAAGGGGGGCAAGGGTGGTGGTGGTGGCGCTGGGGGGGGAGGAGGTGGGGGAGGTGGGGGGGGAGGCGGTGCTGGAGGGAGCGGTGGCGGGAGCGCTGGTGGGAGTGGGGTCGGTGGTGGAGGCGGGGGCGGCGGAGGAAGCAGTGGCAGTAGTGGCGGCGGCGGCGGTGGCGGCGGTGGCGGCGGTGGCGGCGGTGGCGGTGGTGGCGGTGGTGGCGGTGGCGGTCGGAGCGGTGGTAGTGGTGGCGGCGGAGGTCGGAGTGGAGGCACTGGCTCGGGCCAGAGCTCCCAGCAGCAGCAGCGTCCCCAGACGACCCAGCAGCTTCGTGAGTGGCTTGCTCAGCGTGGGACGTCGGGGGGCAGTGGCCGCTGTTCTTATGTCATTCGCACAGGTGACCGCAAGGGACAGACGTGTGGGAGGTTCCACACCCCGTACCGCTGCTTCTCCCGCCTTGACGACGCTTGGCGTGAGGAGATGGGTGCGGATGTTGAGCGCCCCCGCTGGGCTGAGCTCATGAGGGCTGGTGTTGATGTCTTTGCTCTTGACTATGATGCTATTATTGCTGCCATGTATGCATTGACTGTTAGTGCCGAGGGAGACTGTTACTTGTGTGTATGCATTGACTAGTGAGTCTGCTCTCTCTGGTATGGTGCCCCCTGTACTTGCTCCCTCCAGTGCTGTCCCGGCTGGTTTCGAGTCTGCTCTCTCAGGTACAGCACCCACAGAGACTGCTCTCTCAGGTACCGCACCGGCTGAGGCCTGTCACACCTTCACCCTTGACTCAGGTGCTTCCCGTTGCTTCTTTCGTGACAGTACTGAGCTCACACCGCTTCCTGCACCGGTCCCAGTCTCCTTGGCTGACCCCTCTGGGGGCCCAGTCCTTGCCCAGTCCACCACTGTCCTCCCTTGTCCGGCGGTTCCGTCTGGCTCGTTGTCGGGTTTCCACCTCCCCTCGTTCTCGACGAACCTGGTGAGCAACGCACCAGGGTTCGCAACGAACCTGGTAGCCTGCGGGTACTGAGCCTGGGGGTGCTGCTACTGAGCCTACGGAGCCTCGGGTTACTGCGTCTGGGGGTGCTCCGGTTCGGGGTGCTGAGCAGTCTCTCACACTGCAGTAGCTTCGTGACTGGTACGTCCGGCGCTTTCGCCGTCCTCGTGGCTCGGCTGGAGTTGGGGGTGCTGGGGCTGCTCGTCCTGGGGGTGCTCGTACTGGGGGTACTGGAGCTGCCGGGACTGGTTGTTCTGGGAGCACTGCGACTGGAGCTGCTGGAGCTGGGGACTCTGGCGCTGGCGGTGCTAGCGGAGTTGGAGCTGCCGACTCTGGGGGTGGCGCTGCTGCTGGTGCTGCGGACCCGCCTGGTGGAGCTGCTGCTGGAGCTGAGGACCCGAGCGGTGGCACTGCTGCTGGTGCTGGGGACCCGGACGTTGGAGCTCCTGCTGGTCCTGAGGACCCGGCCGCTGGAGTCTCTTCTGCTTCTGGAGACGCTGCGCGGCCGCGACCGTACTTCGTACCGCTCCTTCAGCAGGTTCTTGGGCAGGCTCCTCCTCCTTGTCCTCCTCCCTCCGTAGAGTGTCCTCCGCCTGTCCAGCCGCAGTCACAGTTACCGCCTGCCTCGCCTCTCCCTGCTCCCTCTCCTTACGCTGGTCCCACAGGAGGTCTTACAGAGCGTCGTGAGCCTGAGTCTCGTCCAGCGTCGCCTGTTCGTCCTGCTCGCACTGGTAGTCGTGTCCGTCGTGAGCGTCCTCCTCCTGTCCCAGGCACTCACTACATGACTCTGCGTCCCTCTACTGCTCCTCGGCGTGTCCCTCTACCGTCTCCTCCTGCGTCCTCTTTGCCTGCCGTTCCGGACCCTGAGTCTGACCGGTATCGCGCTGAGCACCCTACAGTCACGCGTCTCCTAGCTACTGTTGTCACCGACCCTACCTTTGAGTCCTCGGCTGCGTCTGCTCTGGTCGCTGAGTTGGTTGACTTTGCTGCTGCCTGTCGTCTAGACTACGCTGCTAGCCTTGTTGCTGAGTCAGAGTCTGTGTCTGTCTGTCCTCCGTCCGTCGGGGGTGAGTGTGCTCTTGGCACGGACGTCCTTGAGGACAGGCAGGAGGACTTTGACTCTCTTGCGGCTGCTGTACCTCATCTCGTGGCCTGGTTGCTTGCCCCTGAGGGAGACCCGGATGCACTAGACATCCCCACTCCGCGCACTTACGCAGAGGCGATCTCGGGTCCCTACTCCTCTCAGTGGCAGACAGCCATGGACGCAGAGATGGCATCCTGGAAGTCCACAGGCACCTACGTCGACGAGGTTCCCCCTCCTGGGGCGAACATCGTCGATGGCATGTGGATTTTCAGGGTGAAGCGGCCGCCAGGTTCTCCGCCTGTCTTCAAGGCTCGTTACGTTGCTAGAGGCTTCAGTCAGCGTCAGGGGGTCGACTTCTTCCAGACCTTCTCCCCCACCCCGAAGATGACCACTCTTCGGGTTCTGCTGCACGTTGCTGCTCAGCGTGACTACGAGCTTCACTCTCTTGACTTCAGCACAGCGTTCCTGCAGGGCAGCCTACACGAGGAGATCTGGCTGCGCCGCCCACCTGGCTTTACTGGGTCGTTTCCCCCTGGTACCCAGTGGAGTCTCCGCCGGCCAGTCTACGGTCTCCGCCAGGCGCCACGTGAGTGGCACGACACACTGAGGACTACACTTGCGGCTCTTGGGTTCGCGCCGTCTACTGCTGACCCGTCGCTGTTTCTGCGCACAGACACGTCGCTGCCGCCGTTCTACATTCTCGTGTACGTCGACGACTTGGTCTTTGCTACTGCTGACACTGAGGCACTCGCTCGTGTGAAGTCGGAGCTGCAGAAGAGACACACCTGCACTGACCTGGGTGAACTGCGTAGCTACCTTGGCTTGCAGATCACCCGGGACAGAGCTCGCCGCACCATCACCCTGACTCAGTCACACATGGTGCAGCAGGTCCTTCAGCGCTTCGGCTTCCAGTTCTCCTCACCACAGGCCACACCTCTGGCTACCAGCCACTCGCTCTCAGCTCCACCTTCGGACGAGTCCGTAGAGCCGAGTGGCCCGTACCCAGAGCTTGTAGGCTGCCTCATGTACCTGATGACTTGCACGCGACCTGACCTCGCGTACCCTCTTAGCATCCTTGCTCGTTACGTTGCGCCTGGGAGACACAGGCGAGAGCACTGGGAGGCTGCTAAGAGGGTGCTGCGTTACTTGTGCAGTACATCAGGCATGGGGCTGGTGCTTGGAGGACACGACAGAGTTGTCCTCACTGGTCACTCGGACGCTTCTTGGGTGGACGACCTGGCTACGCAGCGGTCGTCACAGGGTTACACCTTCAGCCTTGGCTCTGGTTCTGTCTCGTGGCGGTCCACCCGCTCTTCCTCTGTTCTCGGCTCTAGTTGTGAGGCTGAGATCTACGCCACAGCCATGGCTGCACAGGAGTTACGCTGGCTCACCTACCTGCTGACTGACTTGGGAGAGCGGCCTAGTTCTCCTCCAGTTCTGTACGGTGACAACAAGGCGGCTCTTGCCTTGTGTCAGGAGCACAGACTGGAGCACAGGACGAAGCACATTGCTCTTCGCTACTTTCTTGCTCGAGAGCTTCAGCAGCGCGGTCAGCTTCGGCTTGTGTACGTGGACTCGAAGGCCAACACTGCTGATATCTTCACCAAGGCGCTCCCGCCTAGTGATCATCAGCGGCACTGTACTTCTTTAGGCCTTGTGTCCACGTTTCCTCACTTGCTCACTGCTTGACATTCTTTGTACTGTACTTTATATATATCTTGTTGCTTGCTTGCTAGGTTTTGATCACTGTGTTGTTTGTCTTGTACTATATCTAGCACTGCATGTGAACTGGCCTTGTGGCCTTTACTTGTGCTCGGAGTGTGGTGACGTTGTGATCCACCCTGGGCTTTGCTTTGCTTTGCTGGACTGGTCTTGTGACCCTTTGTTCTCCCCCACCTTGCCTATGGGGGTGTGTTAAACTGTATTATGCTTGTAGGCTGTAGTGGGGTAGCCAATATGGGGTACAACCCCAACTAGGGTTTGCTACTTGTACCCAATTCTTCCATTCAATACACCATTCTTGCCTAGTAATTCTGACAAGTCACACACTGACTCTTAGTACCAACCACATACGTAGGTAGTAGAGGTACTTTTTGTACAACCATATTGGTAAGTAACACACATACTTTCAATACCAACCATATGAATAATTAACACACTTATTTGTAGTACCAACCATATGGGTAAGTAACACACCTACTCATACTAGTGACCATATCGGTAAGTGAGATACTTATTCTCTATACCAATAACATTGGTAAATACCGCACATACTTTTAGTACCAACCATCTGGGTACGTAACGCATTTACTTATGTACCAATCATATGGGTAAGTAATACACTTATTCTTAGTACCAACCATATGAGAAAGTAACGCACGCACTTTTAGTAGCAACCATACAGGAAAGTAACGCACCTACTTCTAGTACTAATCACATGGCTAGGTCACGCACAAACTCTAAGTACCAAGCATATGGGTAAGCTAAGTACTTACATCTTAGTACCAATCATATAGGTTAGTGTTGGGTGCAAATTCACATTGCACGACATCTTGCCGTCTATTTGTACGACTTTGCGCGTGTGAAATGTGTTTTTGTGTGAATGAAATGTTCGAGTGTTTGTTTGCTTTCGCAATTTTTGCTTGAAGCATTTGCAGGTACTCGTGCAATGTGCGCTTCGGCAAAAACATTGTAAGCGCTACAAACAGTGCAAGCAAAAAGTGCAAGCAAAAAGGACAAGCTTGCAAAGGAACCCAAGATGGTCATGCTTTGCAGTTCGGTTCATTTGAATGCGCAGATTCAGTTATATCCAACTCGAAATTGTACTGTTTTGTTTGGTTGACTATAGTGTAGCAGGGCAAGCACTATAGGGGTACAATTTAGGTGAAGGTTGGATGTTGTTTGTCTGTATTTGTATGCTACAGGGCCAGGGGAAACCAGCGGAACCAGCATTTGGCAGGTTGGGCCAAGACAAATTAGGTTATGTTTTTAGAACCTAAACCTGGTTGTTGTTTTCCCAGGTTGGAAAAACAGAACCAGAGATTGCTTACCAACCAACCACCTGCTATTTTGTCCAGTCAAGTTGGTTTTGTTTCTTGGAATGATTTGGGATCATCCCTGGTTGTTCCCAAGTTGATTCCCAAGGCCCCTGCTAGCTCTAACTACACTTGCTGACCTCGTACATCCTCAGGGACAAGGCAATGCAGGAGGCTGAGAGGCAAACTTCGTCGCCCCGACGAAGCAAGGAGGCCGACCAGGGCAGGGTGGCAAGCCCGGTGGCGGTGGTAGTGGAGGTGGCAAGCCGCCCAAGGACGCCGACAAGGGGAAGTCGGCCAAGGATAGCGGTCGTGGAGGAGGAGGTCGACGTGGGCGACCCCGGCCGCCTCTCCTTCGAGTGCCCCGACCGCGACAATTCCGATGACGACGACACCAAGGCAGGCCGAGGGAGGTCGGCTGGTCGTCGCCCATGTCGGGAGAGGAAGCTGTGCAACGAGAAGCTGCCGACCAAGTTGACGTTGGTGAAGGATGCCAACTCCTCTTGGCGGCAAGGGGCGA